ACATATTACACATTTACCACTCACCCCTATCGATGTATTTCTCGTCTCCGGCAATATTATATACGTTTTCCAAGCTTACGGGTCACTGTGGGATAGGTTTCTATCAAGTACCTATATGCATATATTATCGTACCACAGTGACAGCGACCGTATACTTTTTCAACCCACACACGAGACGTATATAATATTATTATGTATATTTCGATAAGCAACAGTGTCGTCAAAACATAATACGACTCGAGTCGTATATAGATAGATACCTACGCCAGCAACGTTTCAAATCAGTAATCGATGTGTGTATATTATTATTATTATTATATATCGAGTGATACTTAAACGAAATGGCGTTGTGTTCGTTTTAAATATTTAAACGTATTGAGTGAAAATAGTTTTTTTTTTTTTATCTCTCTTTCTCCTTATTTGTATTATTATTTTTTTTTTTTTTTAAAAAACCGTAAACAAAACAGACATAACGACGAGCAACGAAAAGGGGAGGGACGTTCGATGAAATCACATTAGGTTGTACGCAAACCAAATACGTTTACAAGTCCCAGGCCACCGCCGAAATGTTGTAAAACAATAATGATTGCGCATTACATAAACTCCCCATAGTACTGAAATATTGATGTGCATTTTTATTTACTGCAGTGACCAGAAATTATTTTCGTCGAGTAAAAAAAAATAATGTCGAAAATAATACTGTCGTCTTGTGAACGTACAATACGATTTACCATTTAAGATTCGACGGGTATAACTGGTACAAGAATTCCACTTCGTTAACCTTTATAATAACCGAATAAAGATCAACACTCCAAATACAGTCCTCGCTATAAGCAAAGTTTGCGGTATATATGTGTACAGTGTACTTCAAAATCCACCCTCTGGGCTATTGTGGGCGCCAGCTTGTCCTGCAACTAAAATCTAAAAACACAAACTAACCAAAACAACAAGTTATCCTTATTGCGAATATGTCAGACACGGGCAGATGCACTGCAATGATACTGGTGTCATGATTTAGGAGGAGGAAGTTTGTTTTTATAGCACATTTTATACTTATTCAGTTATCTCTTATTAAAAACGATCCATCACTCAAATTGTTTTTAATTAGAGAAAAATTTTGTTTTTCTCATAATGTATAGGTAGGTACTTCTTACTAAAACCCACCATAACCTTTATAGTTAATTCGTTTTAGTAATATATAGCTTATTTACATAGATAGGTTACGTACTTACGTGATACGGAGGTCATATCATTCATAATTCATGTAATAATGAATACAGGATCATAAATATGGATACTTACCTACTTTCTACATGGAAATTATTAATTTCTACGCAGCAGAATGTTTACAGTTATTAATTTAAAGAAATAACCCTTTTCAGCTCTGGTATCAAACAGTGGATATCAATATAGGAGATGTTTACGGAAAATATTTTTAAAAAAAATACAACATAATTACCGTAACAACAAAATGCATTTTTATTTCTGTACCAATTCCATTTATCTTGGACATAATATAATTTCCCTTTAATAAAAACTTAAAAGATAAAACAATTATAAAGTTACACCTTAAATTATACTGAGTAAAGATCTTAACGTCGTTTTTATGTAGGAGTGTTTTAGCTTTGAATTTTTTAGCAGCTACTTATAGCCTACATATCATATTATTATTATATAGGACAAACAATGTATACAATAAAATTATATAGTTCATTAAATTTAAATATCACATTTTCTTTGTTTTAAACGTGTGAAAATGAGTTATGGAATGATAATATAATGAATAATGAATGGTAAGTATAAATAAACAATAAAGTATAACAAAAAAAAAAAAATCACAAGGTTGTGAAAATGGTAAAGTATATCACGTATATCCATGTGCATCGTCATGTGTATACATTCACATAATATACAATATATATATATTTATTTAATGTGTGATATGTTCGTTTAACGGTAAAATAATTTAAATGTGTTTTATTTTTTTCATTGATTGAACCGAAATAATGTGTTGTGTGACTAAATCAAAACATAATATTCATGTTTACCTATTTATTTTACTTTAATTTTTATAAGTCACCGGTTTGTTTTTATTATATTTTAACATTAAAAACACTTCTACGAAGATACATTTCAGTAGACATTGTACATTATTATTAAAACTATGTTCATAAATTAATTTTATACATTATACTATTTTGAAAATATTATCCTGTGTTTGAACTCATTATGTGGCTTCTATTATAGCTCTATATAAATATAAATATAACGTTAATCATAACTTTCTATTTTACTACAATCCCCATTAAATTATTAAAATTAAAACTCCTAATCCTGAGTTTAACAACCGACGTTAATTATTCTTTGTTAATATCACTAACCTTAATACATGGAAGTATAATATATTAACGAGGCCACATATTATAAACTTAGGTGTAAGTTAAATTTTAATTATTGGTAAATATAATATTCTAAAAATGGGTATACATCAAACAATTTTACTTTATTTTGAGATTTGATACTTTGATCGAGCAATTATTTTTAGTGTCGCTGAGATCGAGTTCATAACCAATATTATTATTATTATTTTTTTTTTTTTAATTTTGGACGATGGCAAATATGTTTCCCGATGATAATTTACACTAGCTAGTCCATAAAACAAAAATAAATGATGATAAAATAGTTATTGACCATTAAATAACGGTTATTTCAGGACGGATTTTAGACTAAAGGTTTATGAAAATTTTTCTATAAATATGCACACGCAAACGAACTGATTAAAATGTAATTCAGACATGTAGACATGTAGTATAACTCTTTTAGACATCCAAAAATAACGTATTACATAGTGTGTAACGAGATTGAAACCACCAGATCATATTTTGTCACCAAAAATCAAAATGTGTCCACTATAGAGTAGAAACAAAATGCGTAAGTTGACTTTTGCATATTATCATAATTATATTACTTATGCACCTAATATAATAAACTGTATATGCGCACTGCACGCTGAAATAATATTTTAGGTATTGAACATTTCTACCACCCTATATCTATGAAATATATTTATACGTACGAATAATAATTAAAAAGCACCAATGCATTTCACATCAATTTGTAATAAACATAACTATTATATCACATTATCTCGTAGAAAAAAAAGAAATCAAATCATTTCGGGTCACTGATGTGACGAAAATAATTAAGTTTTGGTTCACGGTATTTAACTATACGACTTGTTGGGATCTGTTGAGCAAATATTACTTTCAAACAATAAAAAAACATTTTTTTCTCCATTAAGCTGAATATTTTATCATGGTTTGTGTTGGGGGACAAGTTTATTGATATTATTATGTAACGAAATTACGAAACGAAAACAAACAAAACACGAAAGTTCACTTCCTATAATATAAAGATTCTTACTTGCGTTTAGTCCTTATTTATATATATATATATACTACAATATAATAATATATACACCTACATGGAATAAGTGCATTTACTGATTTACGTGTACGGGGAGCCCCTCTCCTCGAAGTTATCCTATCATAATTTAATATATTTTTATACGACTCGTGGATAACGAACGGCTATTGAGCCGTCCCGTGAATATTATACCCTGTTCAAAAAAAAAAAAAACGTATATCACTTACGCAAGTCCTCTTATTTCTGCACATAAATTTTCGAAGGGACGAAGAGGTAATAGGCATGGCTAAAATAATAATAATAATAATCAGAGGAAAATGTACGAGCGTCGGATGAATGTTGTAAAACCATATATATTATTTGTTGTGCTCATTAGTTCGTATATTGTTGTATTATTGACTCAGTCTTATGCGCACATTGCGAACTCGACAGACGGGCCGAACTGTGGAATGGGATTTATTTATGAATATAACTATTACTCGTGTGCGACGACGTACCAGATATTATGTTGCAGAAACGGTTTGTTGAACTGGGGGGTGGGCGGGGCTTTAAAAAAATAAATAATTTTGTGTGATATCTACAATGTCGATAAAATATTCTGAGCTGTTCGAATAGGTATACACGAAAATGGAAACCATAAAACTATATAACTTATCAGAAACGTTTCGACGTCCAAAGCGGTTTTCCACCCCCCCCCCCCCCCACGTTTCCTAGTGAAAAACGTATTCATTTCAGCGAATAACAAACAGACACATTAACTTTTATCCACTTTTGGTCCACTTATTAAATCTGCTAGCGTATTCAACATTAAACGTAAGCTATACGACCCCTACGAAAAACCACCTAACACATTCTAATAATAATAATAATAATAATAATAATAACAATCAATAATAATTGTGTACCTACCTAATCAATTAATTTATCTATGGTTCAGTATACTTTTCTTATAATATCATATTATGGTTGTTGTGGCGCAGGCTAATGAAACAAACAAACCATAACAGTTTTTTTTTTATAAATCATTAGTAATTAGGTACTATGGAAAAACAGAACATTCAAAGGTCGTTGTACCTATGTACTATATAGGCATAATGTATGATGGGATAATATAATGTTTTGTATAAGGCACACATGAACAATGAATGTATATAACAATATAATATTATACCTTTGTATGAATCAATATAAATGACTGTGGTAAGTAAATCCCGTCGCCAATTTCGACGTCCACGCGAATCTCGGACTGTTTGCGTTGATTATTTAAATTTAAACAAATATAATAATAATAATAATAACGACCGAAAAAAAAACTCGCCCACAAAAAAAATCGTCGTCGTCGGATGACATCCACCCGGTTTCATTTGATATATTATTATAATGTACACACACACACACACAACACACGGTGAGGGGCGATGTTAGTTAAAGGGTGGAAAGGGGTAGTATAGTAATGGGTGGGTGTTGTGGATAGGTCGAGGAAGAAGCAACAGTACAAATAATAATAATAATAATAAAATGAATAATAATTATATGAATATGAAAATTACGTAGAAGGCGAGTTATTGTAATACTTAGACTATAATATAATATGTTATAGAACAAGACGGACTCAGAACGCGCGGGCCCGCTTGGTCTCCTCGTCGACGATCCTCTGCTGCATGAGGTAATTGGCCATCGCTATGCCGCTGGCCGACCCGCATATCGTCACCTTCCGGTTGGTGGTGCCCGGCGCGTACACGCCCTTCTTGGATATGTGGATGGTGACGCCGCTCATCTGCTGGATCTCGACCAGCGACCGGCCGCCGGGGCCGATGATGGCGCCCACGATCGACTCGGGCACGTCCATCTCCCGCTTGACGGATTGCTGGTCGTCGGCGGTCATCTCGTACAGGGCGGCCGCGGCGGCCCGCAGCAGCCGCCGCCGCCGCGTTCGTCGTCGGCCCCATCGCCTTGGGCGTCGACGCGGCTGCGGCTGCGGCCGCCGCTGCCGCCGCCACGCCCAGCCCGTAAGAGTTGGCGTTGGACAGCGTCGGGCTGGCCGCGTTCTGCGACAGGATCGCGTTGATGGATATGGCGCCGCCGGCCAGGCCCAGATCGAACAGGTCGTTGGTCACGGTGCTCAGAAGCCCTGTGCCGTTGTGGTGCGCTACCGACGGGGCCGGCTGCAGGATGCTGGTCTGGTTGATCAGGCCGATTATGCTGTTCGGGCTAAGTACGTTGTGCCTGCGGATAACACGAAAAAAAAGACACATTACAGTCAGTGACGGATTTATACAGAGTCCTACACTCGTAGGCGCAATTAGGGGGTGGTTTTCGCTCCCCCCAGCTTTTTAATCATATTTTATTTATATTCTTAAAATATAATTGGAATATAAAAACACGTAATAGCAAAAAAATTTAAAAAAAACGAATATATAAAAATAGGCGCATCACCAAAAATTAGGCCCCGTACCTCAAAATTCAATTTTACAATTTCAAAGTAGGGTTCTGAATTTATAGTGGGGTATTGGACATCCTCCTCCCCACATAAATGTCAAAATAATATAATATGTTGAACAATTATTTTTGATTTTCTTTGAAATGTATAAATAATACCTAATACCACTGTATTTTTTTGTACGCGTACACAGACGAAGAGTATACAACATAATAGTAATGTATAAAAGTCTAATTCACGTCGCATTAATTGCTAATAATAATATGTTAGATGATAAGTACCCTACCCCGCAGAACATTTTTAAAAATCCACAATACTTACTGCTGCACTAGACATGCGTGGTACGGAGGGGACGCACTTTTAACTCGTCACTATAATTGTTATGGAGTGGTACCTACCACTAAAAAATAACCCTATATTATGAGATTTTGCAAAATTATGAAAAAGGTGGTCTGGGCAAGTTGGGAATGATTAATATTTAATTATTATGTAATAGTGTATATTTCTATGATATTATATTATTGACTTTTGTTATCAACTTTTGAGGCAATACCACCTTACCGTAGAACAATAGGAATAGATTAATGCGTATATTATTATAAAACGTAAAAATTTAAATAAATCTAAAATTTGTATGTCATTGAGTATAGAAATATATTTTATAATGTCCGTAAAATTGTTATGTCCCCAGAAATAATGTTTAATTTGGATTCAATCATAAATCATTGTACATATACGATAAAAAAAAGATTCAGAGCGGAGACGGTTATATTGTATTGATATTTCAAAACAAATTAACTATGATTGAAAAAATGTACTATTTGTTTTATATTTATATATTATTGAAATTGTATTACACATTTGTTATACAAAACGTTACTGCTTGTTTTTCAATCATACCTACATAGACTGGCATTGAAATCTCGTGAATATGTGTTGGGTACCTTGTTCACATCATTTTTGTTATAGGGTTATTATTTTTGTGGTATTTTTTCACGAGGTTATTTATTAGTTAAATCCTTTGGAGTATATAATATTAAGCCATTGGTAGCATCTTGGTCTTTCCCATTAAATTAGTAGTAAATATCAAATAAACATTATTTTATTATTCATTGATAATAACAAATGATCTATAATATTAACAATACCTAATGTAAAAAAGATAAAATTATGATCAATCAATTTGAAGATATTGGTCGAGTTGTACAGACGTGATAAATCGCGTACCTATATTGGTCGATATGACCGAAATTATAATGATTTATGGGTTGACCATTATTAAACATGGCTTTTATTTTATCATGTAAATGGTTTTATAAATACATTTCAAATCGTATTTAATTAATTATAAGGACCCGGATTATTATATCAATCAATGGCGGCTGTTTCGTCCACAGCGCGACTAACGACAGATGTCCGAAGGGACTTATCCAACAATAATGCGTAGTTGGTCTACCAAGCTTAACCCAAAATCGTTCGATACCGGTTTGAACAAAAGCTCCAGAAAATATTTGGACCCTAATATAATATACAAGGTGATTTTTTTAGCATGCTCACCCTATTTTTGTGGGTAAATTATTCATAAATTCATATAATTCTGATTTTTGAAATTTTTAAATACACCCGAAGAGTGAAGACCATGTTTATGAATAGGTACTTAATTTTTTTGCCAATTAAGAATGGTACAGGACCAACAATGCAAACTTCTAATTTTCAAATAAGAAACCCCTTTTTTTACTTAACATTTTTCAGTAGGTATTTTTTTTGAGAATTTTTATGTATCTAAATCAAAATTCGAACGAGTAGTTTTTGAGTTAACTGTCTTTGATATAACTTAGTATACCAAGGATAATATGTCCATTGTAGTTAATGGGTTGAGTAGATACGGGGGCTTAGATGAATTGACAATGTTGACAATTACTATTGATCTATCAGCACCTTGTACTTAGGTAAAAATGATTTGTAAAAATTATCTAAGTACAATGAATAATACATCTAATATTACATATTATATAGTTTATATTTTTGTAAAACCATTTTTAAGGACTATTATTCTTAGTACAAACATTTTAAAGAAAATGTACCGCTAAATAATTTGCAGTAAGGGAAGTGTTCATTTGAAAAATAAAAGTTTGTATTGACGCAGGACACTCCATAAGTAGGTATAGTACAACAAATATTAGGAATTTGAATATTTAGTATTTACTGTTTAGCTATAGGTACTTAAAAACTCTAAAAATTTGAATTTGAAAAATTGTATTATTAAAGGGAAAAATGAGGATGAGCATGTTTAAAAAATCATCCTGTAAGTCGTTCATTGTCTGAGAGTTACTTACAGTTGCTGTAGAAAATGTATGGAAACACGGTGTTTTTGTTTTACAAAAATGCACGTCAAAAACCACGGTTGCAAACATTTCCAGCAATGAGTAACGACCAACGACATTGTTGGGACAAGTAAAAATATATCTATTTATATATCTATTGATATATCTATTTGTACTTAAAAATGAATAAACGTTTGTATGGGGCTTATAGACTTGATAACTATACTGAGCCAATTGCACCAAATTATGCACATATACATATTCCTTAAGACTCGGGGGTGGGGGGGGGTGTTATTTGCTTAGTTTTTCAACCACTATAGATTGATATAGGGTGGTTTGTACTTCGTTTTGACACACGAAACTCATAAATTATTTAATATATACAATCGACATTGGGTACAGAGCATTTTTTTTTTAAAAAATTGTATTTACTAGCCATATATGTTGCTATTATTCGAAATATTATGTACAATAAGAGGCAACGTTCGTATGTAGCGTAAATGGACTCAAAAGGTACTGGACCAATTTTGACGAAGGTTTCAGAAATTGGTCTTATAGATATCAAAAAAATTTAGAGAGTACTTTCAACCGCGTTCAAAGCATTTATCAAGTTCTCTATCCAATCCTGTGATGGTTTGCCCATCTTGGTCGAATTAAGTTCACGATTTGCCCGTGAACTAATGTACCTACATACACTAAAATCGAGATACACTGATATATCGTCGTATTTTATGTTGGTTTATTTTTTCCCGGGCGATTTCGGGTTATGCAGATGGTAATTTAATAAATATATATTATCACCCCACGTCCCCATCATGCATGATTTCGTATTGAAAAACATCCCTTTAAAATATTACACGTGTAGACTGCCACAATTTTTTTTTAACGGAATAAATATTAATACTCATGAAAACGATAATTTTGTTTTATAATTATACATATTTTCCCCGCACGTCTCTCTACCTTACTTACAATATGTTTATATACAGACAAACACAGTAGAAATTGATTATTATACGACATCAAAGGCATCGCGTGTAGTTGGTTGTGCATTAACCGATAAAGGTTGTACAAGACAATAGACAAAAACCCGTAGAAATTTCAACTGGGACTTAAGATTTAGTGCCTAATAACCAATATGACGTGTTCACCGATGACGTATTAAACGATTCAACATGTTTATAGTATATTATTAGTATAATACTACGGCCTATATATAGTGAAGGGTCACTGCAGAGATCACCAACTATAATGCTTTGGGAGGGCCAAATTAGGAATTTAGGAAGTTTTCGGGTGGCATAAAAATGTAAGAAATGTGCACGTTAAGGGGCCTCACTACCAAGTCTTTTTTTTTGTCAAAAACTACTGTTTCTAATTCCAACGATACGTGTCGACAATTATCACGATTTTCATTCTGAAAAGATATTCTGATTGTCCGTAATATATACAAGGGAACGATCGAGCCACATTTTTAATTTTTGTAATTTAAATTGCAATAAAAATTGTAAAAAAATCAAAAAAAAATACAGAATTTCCAACTTAAATATTTAATTAACTAAATACAATTTTAAAAATGTGCCTCGATCGATCCCTCGTACATGTTGTGGAAAATAAGAATATTTTGTCAGAATGAAAATTGAGGTAATCGTTGCGACGTAATGTTGGAATTAGAATCGTATGTTTAAGTGAAAAATAAGCATTTTTTCATGATCACAATATTATTATATATTGACATGTGAGTGCGAATGCGTGCGAGAGCTACAATTGACCCGCATGGACGCCACACACACTAATAATCATTTACGACTAACACATAGATCTCGGGTGGCGACGACGAGATTAGAAATTGCCTAAATGATTCTCCTTAAATCAATGCCATTGCGAGGCCCCTTAACCAAAATAAAGTAAAGCCAAAATTAAAATGGATGAAAAGTTAATTAAACTCGCCATAAAAAAAAAAAAAATAAATAAATATCGGAAACGTTTGGTGACCCAGGGTCAAGTGTTTACAATAATGATTGGGGCTGTAATACGAGTGAATCTATCGTAAATCGTTTCGATAGAGATCATATCCGATCACTTTGACCCCGGAAATCGCGGTATACCGCGGTATCCCGTCAAATCTGCACAAATTCGGTTAACGTCTAATGCCATAAATTTCGGGTACAAATACGATTGGGTATACGGACGTGCTCGTCTCAGCTGGGTCATAACACAATTCCGTATACTCACGTTGAATTAATTAATTTTTTGAGATGTTGACAAATTTTACTAATTTTACAGTGGTTTATAGACATCAATAGATACAATAAATGTATAATATTATATGATTATACCCAGAATTTAGGTAACCGCATATTTAACGCTTTTTAATTAAATTACAATGTTCTTTATATTTATTTACTTTAGGAACTATTAAAAATTATAATGTTTGTACGTGCCAAATAATTACGTTTCCTAGCTAACATGAGACCGTTATACTGAGTAAACTGTAAAATCAAAATTATTTAATTTTAACCGTAAAGACCGCGTAAGCGGTATAATAGTTGCTTTTTATAATATGCTGACTGAATAATATTTACAATCTGATCGTGCCTTGGGGGCATATATGTATTTTCGTACTCAATCGTGTCGCATTTAAGGGATTCCTTTGTTAATGCGGTTCATGATATATATATAAGCAAACGTGTGTCTAAAAAGGTAAATCGTATATGTATACGCAATCGGGTTCTATACCCTTGGGCTTTCTGGAATTCGGGATTTTTTTTTAAAAACCTTTAAGCTCCAATATATTTTACGCACATGAAGGTATAAGTGCATTCCACACGAGAGAATTCGGATTACACCTCGTCCGTTGTTTGAATTCAGAGCGTATTATTGTCACTTGGGTGTTTGAAATGTTTGAATTATTAGTTTTTATTTATAAATAAAATATGCATGATTAAATTTGTTTTCGCAACACTTTACCGGTTGAAAAGACACCGTCTGCACATTAATTATCACTAGACAGGTACCTACCTATATACCATACATTATTATGTATATTATTATGTGTGCTGCTTTCTGTCTCGTGCAGTAGGTATATGGTGAGTCGTATAACGAAGTTCACGACGTGTATCACACATGCCGTAACTTCCGAAAAGTTACCCTCTCGTGTGATTTTAGGCGACAAATGAAATCTGGCCGAGTTATAAATGGTAGGTCGTCAAGATATTATTTTCTTTACGAAATATACTAACGTGCAGCGTGTAATTTTGATACTTATATGCTCCTCTTTTTATAAATTGTTACTTAATAACATTTTAATGTCAACTATAATGGATTTGTGTTATATATAATAATATTGTAATTTTGGTTAATTCTAGCAGCGTGTAACCGGATTTTAATGAAACCCAATATATTCCGATTTTCTTATAAATAAAATATTTTTTTGAAGTGAACTTTTCTATACAATAAATTTGTAACTACTGAAATAATATACAAAGATGGTTAAAAAACATAAACAAAAAATAATAAAGTGACTTGGCATTTGGCAATGAAACAATGGTTCTATTTTACAAAATTACAATTTACAAGTATACAATTGAAAGCCATTGTATTCTAACTACTCTGACTTTTGAAATGAAAATGAGTTATTTTATGTGTATGGTACGAAATGTAATTCTATTCATTTTAACAATCGCAAAAACTCCTTGAATATGCTTCGTTTTTCTTAGAATGGATGTTGTGTAAGGATATATTTTATAATAGATACAGTATAAGGTAAGTACTGATAAAAATGATTTAATATAATTAAACAAAATAAGTGTGTATACAATATATTAGTAATTAGTTGAAGTTAGATATGATAATCGATAATTATACTTAACATTTCAAAGTTAAGTCACCCACTAGACCAGTGGCGTATTTACGGGGGGGGGAATCAAGGGGATCAATCCCCCATTGGCTGTACATAATATGCAAACGTGTTAGAAGTCCTAACTTAAGGCCTCAAACTTTAAAGGGGGGCTACTGGATAAAATCATAAAATCATATTCCCCCCCCCCCCAAGACAAAACCCTTAATACCCCACTGTACTAGGCAATCTGTCGATCTTCATTTATTTATAAATAAGCCTATTAAACGTTAATGTAAATTATTTTAAACCAGATATACCTACCTATAATCTTTCATACATAATATGAAAGCACAAAATAATTTGTATGAAAATTAAACTATTTTTCGTTCTGACACTTTTTCGCATGACACATTTAATTATTTTTCAACCTAGTCACGATTTTCGTTTAAGCCAAATATCATATTTGACTTGCTACATTAAAGTATCTCATTGCATAAGTTATGCACCAACTTACATGTATCGTAAGAAATAAACGTTGTGAACAAGATTTATTATAATAATACATTTATTTTTTATCAAAATCGAATAATAACTGTGGATCTAAACAGGAGACATTTTAAATCCATGTTGTTATAAATAATAATAACTATTTGCGAACATTCAAGTCAAATGTAATGTCCTAAACGGTTGGTTCCACAAAGGATTTTTTGAAAAGTTCACACGTGACAGGCCTGAACTCGAAGCCTCTTTATTCAAACTAACAATAAGTACTGAATACCGCCGATACCTATTTATGATATTATAATATATTATTATGTAATTGATGTGCATAAATAATGATGTCAGGCAATGTGGGACATCACATATTATCGCACTGACAGCAAAACATCATTTAATATGAAGTAAATGCATATTTCAGCAAGGAAATATTAATAACAATTATAATACCTTAATAAAATGATCAAATTTCATGTAAATATAATTAATATAATAATTTAATTATAATATCTGATTAGAACACCTAACCAGATAAACCCAGATTAACCTTAAGCCGAGATCATGGTTCATAAATTTAAAACAAACAAATCGCAAGATTCGTATTATAAATTACTTTGTGAATATTAGAGTCCAATAATCAGGTATTCAGGTGTGATATACCTACTGATATCATATTAGGATTAGGAACAATATAATTTACTGCTAATAATAATAATAATAATAACAAGTAATAACTTAACTCTACCTAGCTAAAATAAATTACATATTTATGTATACTGTGAAGTGTATATAGAACGATCCATATTATTCTGTATAATAAACTCCATTAATTTTCTCAAAATATATTTGTTATTTTAATAAAACAAAATAAGTCCATTTTTTTTTCTTAACAAACGTACATATACTTACAACATTTTTATAAAAAAAAAAAAACACAAACTGTTTTTTTATTACTTAGAGTGATTTCTTCTAAGAAAATTAATGTAGCAGAATAAATAAACGACATTCGATGAAAAACATTCTTAGCGTTTTAAAAATTCGAAATGCGTTCCGTTTAAACACGGGAGTTTGCGCACATGTAGGTAATAAAAACGCGTAATTAAATTTTATTAATATGCTTCTCTTACTTGGCTAACGTCAAAAAGGCGACGGCTATTTCGTTGACTGCGGATTCTGGATATCCACTGGACCTCAGTAACGGCTTTACGTTGTCTAAGAATTTGTTGGTGAATATACCATTGCTGACATCCTGGGTGGATAACGACGTGGCATTTAAGTTGTAGCTGGTCTGGTTGTTGGCTGAAACGTACAACGGACACACGGTTAGCCGACATGAACGCTAACACGGTATAGAGTATACCTATAGCTACGCGGGGGGGGGCGTATACAGAGGGGTACGTGGAGGTCTGAAGCCTTTTTTTTCATTTTTAAATGGTCTCGCTCTAATGGAAGTGCTTCGAAACGCCCTATTATCTCCTATTAGTGCCTTCTGCAGAAGAAGTAATTATTGACGAATCGGACAAAAATAAAAGGAAATTCAATTTTATAATTTAATTGCGCATATCGTCAGTAGGTATTTAATTTAATATTTAATTTAATTTAATTTAATATTTTTTTTGTACTTGGTGATGGATTAGATTTTTTTCCACACATCTGACCTGGGCCCCCATTATGGCGATTGGGGGGGGGACCCATAATATAATAAGCAATTTCAGCGTTGCCCGATGCAATCATTGCGTAAATAAAAACAACGCAATAATTATGTTTGATCGAATAATAATAATTATAATATATAATAATACGTACAGCAATTGGTGGGGGCCAGGGCGTACGGCGATCCCGTCGGATTGAAATTCGCCACGGGGCCATTGACGTCGGCGTAACTTAAATTCGGACAGGACGCGCTCAACGGGTCTTCGATTATTTTGTTTAATATGCACGAGCACACTTTTTTGTTTCCTTCGGTGTTACCTGAAATGAAATAATAACTCGTTTTAAAAAACACACAACAAATACACCATGCAGTACTCTGCAGTAGAGCCAATAGAACTACTACATACAAGCCTGGATTAAGGGGGGGGGGGTCGAGAGGGGCGCGGTCCTGGGGCCCATCTTTATCTCCAAAATATATTTTTTTGACGCGTCCAATACAGTTTTAAAAAAAAAATTATTATTTAAGTAGATATAGGTATAGTAGGTAAACTATTATTAATATAATTATAAAATAAAATTGTTCTCAATTTTATATCACGAAAAATTACTATAAATAATGAACTATGTTTGTCAACAATTTTGTTTGTTTGTTTGTTTGTTTGTTTGTTTTTTTTTTTTGAGCATTTTAGATTACCGATTTAACTTTTGTATACTTTAATAGAAATAATTTATCTCTTGTAAATTAGGTATTTTAGTTGAAAGTATTAATGCATATTATATTAAACTTTAGAGGACCATAATTAATAACCTAGGAAACCAAAATTGATCATTTGACTGTCAAAGTGTTCAGAAAAAAAGCTTTACCAGAATCCACAAAAAAATACGTGATTACCATTTGAAAAAATAAAGTCGAGTTTATTATTGGTACAACTGCGTGTTTAAACATTTTGAAAATGTTATAAAAATAAAGAAACACGTCTTTTTTTGTTTTAACGAAATCCATATCATCGGTCCATAATTGTTTTAAAAAAAAACCGCGTACAATGGCATAAGATACACCCTGTATACTTGTTGTATAGTAAAAAATTATACAATAATATAAAGTCGTTAATATATAATGATACAATTATTTTGAAGTTAAAGTTGAAAGGGGGCCCACTAAGTGTATGGTGTCCCGGGGCCCAATAGATCTTTAATCCGGGATTGAGTCTACATATGCTTTGTTATTTATCCATTATACAGTGTTGTTAAGGGGTATGAATAGTATTGAAAAAATCTATAAAAATGTACTTTTGTATTTCCAATAATATGGTTTATTAAGTGGCTTGAGAGTAAAAACACATATTATCAATATTGTAGAAGAGAAGTTAATCTGTGCCTGTATAGAAGTCAAATTTTAATATTTGTAATTACTAAACTCAATAATTCAAATTCAAAAAGTAAAATATCATAAGTTTTAGAGTTAAATATTGGACATTGAAAATAAAATATCGAAAATCGACTCTTATACGAGCCTAGATAAACTCCTTCTCTTCAATTCGTATAATAGGTGTTCATACTGTAATGTCACTCAGTAAGCTATATTATTGGAAATACGAAACTAAGTTTCAGTGTTTCACTAAAATTCACATTTGTAATTAGAGTGTAAAATGTTCCGTTAATGACATGTGCGTGCACGTGCGGGTGTGCTCCACTATTTATTTTATACACAGTCACTCACACTAATAATCATTTACTACGCACACATTTACACGACCCGCATGCACACCATTAGAAAATTGCCTATACCAAACTCCTTAGAAACGGTCGGTATGCATACCCCTTAAGTATTTTAGTAAAAAGTAGGTATTCTATATTAATACAGTATATTGTATTGGTGTCGAACGACTTATTTTAAATACTATGACTATCATGCATTTGGATTTTATTTCAAAAACATAATAGGTATATAATATATTGATAATGAATATTAATCCGCATTGGATACTTTTCTAATTTCTATCCTCGGGTAGGGTCATTCATTTTATACAATATATTATTTTATTTTACTAATTTTTATTCAAGTATGGTCACTGGAATAAAAAAAATCTGAATTTTGAAAACTTCAAGAGTTTGTGCGGTAAATAGGAAAATAGTAAAATGAGTAGATGGGTAATTAAGTGAGTGGGTTCGATCTTCGATATCATGTCCAAGAGGTATAATGATTTTACTCTAGACAAACGTCGGCGTGATCAACCCTAAAAACTCTATTTTTTTTAACGTAGTTATGAAAGCTAGAAAGTTGGTCGATGTCTCATTAAAAATTGCTTGTCAAGTAGACACAAAATGTGAAATTTAAAAATTAATTTACCCATTAACCGTTAAAAAAAAAGTCAATTTTTGTTTAGCAACTCAGATTTCCGAAACCGAAGAAAACGGATTTTGTTGTCTAGGATGTTGTAAGAGTCGCATTGTCTAGGATAATTGCAGTCCTGAAGAGTTTGAGACCTTTATATTTAATAGGTTATTCACTACAGACTTTAAAAGATGTTCATCATAAAAATACACACACATATTGTAGATAAGAATTATAAGTACCAAAGGAGAAAATTCCTATAAAATGTTCGTATAAAATTTTATGAGGGCTAAAAAGTACAAGGTGAGTTCCATAATAGAATAGTAAAACTAAAGTATTAAAAAGAGTTAACATTTTAAAAACGGACCACAAAAATGTTGTATACTAGTAAATAAAATGCTTTCCAGTTCAGAAAAGTTTCAATTTCGAGTACTGCCTTAAGTACAATTAAGTTTAATCCTATCGTCATAAAATATAATATACATAATACAGTTAATAGTTGTTTAAAAATTAAAAATCAAGAAAGTGTACCTACATGACCACGGCCTCGACTTGGCAAGCGTTTTTTTTTTTTTTTGCTAAGTTCTGTAAATCGTGTTTTTAATGAACGTAATAATATGATGACATGATACGGTATAACGATCTGATTCAATTGTTGTTTTTATTGTTAACATGATAAAATACATAATACCATAGAATTATTAGTTAGATAATACTTTAAAAAAATGTTTACTTTTTATATAATTTTATATTATTGTGGCACGAATGACGAATGAACATTTCCAACTAATAATGTAAAAAACGTGTCTTGTCTCCTGCAATGACTTATTTAAAAAATAATATAAAACAATAATGTAATAATTTAATTATATTTTTTGATTTTTTATTTGAAAACTATTTGAGTAGGTATTAGTATACACATTAGCCAACATTCGATAAACAGTATTTTAAATGCCTACTTCAAGGGGATTCAAAACCGTGATTTTCTGTTTTTATCTAACACACGCGCGACATAGGATTTTAAACTGGTTCTTTGTCAAACATAATACATATACCAATTGATCTCATGAAGCGATAAGAATTCTAAAAACAGATTTGAATTTGTCGTCAGGTCTACTTGAAATCGATCTTCCCACATTTTTAATTTTAACTTCTTCAAAAAATTAAAACCCGACAATTTTTAAATACTCTTTTTTAATATGACATTTTTAGGAATTTGGGGGGGGGGGATAATATCAAAAATGTGGGAAGATCGATATCTAGTAGACTTGACGAAAAATTCAAATTTGTTCTTATAATTCTTATCGCTTCATTAGATCAATTGCAGGTATGTTTGACAAAGAACCAGTCTGAGATCCTATGTCGTGTGTGTGTTAGACAAAAGCAGAAAATCACGGTTTCGAATAACCTTAAAACAAAAATGTACGCGAGTACAGTGTTTTGCATAGATAGGTACATTTCCAAAGTGTTCTTTATAACACTGACAATATAATATATTATAATATCTTGGGACTGGCCATCTTTACCGGCTTTGAGAATTGAACGAGCAAACATTAACTATGTACGACATTATAATATTATATATTATACCTGAAACGGTTATACACCGTTCTTGGAGTGTAGTGTCTTTCGCTTTTTGCGATATCTGCACAAAACAACCGCTGTCTTCCTTCAACTGTTTGATGTAAGCTCCGGCTTTGCCGATAATCATACCAGCTGTCGAGTTGGGTATCAGGATTTTCACCTAAAATTTTAAACACTTGATTTAATACATTTTTAACGATATTCTGCATTGTTTGAGAGTATGGATATCATTTTGACGTGTCACCGCGTATGTGATATAATATAGGTACGTACCGACCGTACGTTTATATGAGTTAACTATTTATTTTATTGTCGTCGCATTCGATACAATAATATCGTTCAATATGTACCTGTTTTTCACGGTCTGCAATCGCATCACCAGAATTTTGGACCCTATTTGACGCATCTGGTTTTTCCCGGATTCGTTCCATAATAAATGTAAGTGCAGCCATTATGTGTTCGGAACTCGATCCAGATATTATGCAAACTCTTTCGGTCGTGCCTAGAATTGTTAAATCGATTGTTAATTTAATAGTTTAATTCAATTATCTTTGTACGTCATGTTCTTAAGACCAAAACAGAAAAACGTTTGAACATATTTTACAAATTGCATTATTAACATAACAAGAGGATTAACAAACGGACAGTTTTTTTCCCCGACTAAAGCTTATATAGTCTACAGAGCTATGACCTAATTTTCGTTCCAGTATCATCGGTCACGAAAAGTGTTTTGAAAACATATTTGAATTCTTAACCACGCGCGTCTTATCCGAACTATATAGCTTTACCCACTTTGAGCAATTTTTTTTACAACAAAACGTGACGTACTAATTTATCGTACAGTACACACTAGAATATTATTATTATAATATCATTACGTCCAAACACACTTGATGTTCGATATACGAGTCCGCGAGATCGATTGAAAAAAAATACCACGAATACAAATAAAACAGGAGGGTCGGAGAATATTTCGGGATGGATTTCAAACAAGAATGGATCGTGACATCGTCAGTTCGGTCGATATTAAATTGGGTCTATTCGGCGGCAAAATAAAAGCGACCAGGTATCGATGTTATATAGTTGCGTGCCCTGTTGTACTGGTACGGCGGAATATAACACACACCACTAATGATGACCATTTAATGGCACACGCTTGTAATATTGCCTGTATCGAACTCCTTAAAAACTGTACACTGTTCCCCACGTTATTATATATTTTTATCGTTTGGATATTATGCGATTTGTTTGAAATTCGTATTATAACGATATTATTTATAGTTAATATTACACGTGAAATTGGGTTAACCGTGAGACATAAAAACATGAACGGGACAAGACAGTGCTTAAAGACTATTATATATAGTGTGTTCACTCGATAACCTCGGCGGCGGCGCAAGAGTATACGTATACCTATTGTGTAACTTTTCTTTTAAATTTCAAAGCAATGATAAATCAAAACATTCATAAAACCGTTCCATTGTTGTATACCATCTATTTTACCGTTTTATCGTTATTTTTAGATTCTCGGCAGAGCGATAATATCGGTTCTACAATGTCGTGTGTCTTTTATTATTATTATTATAATTTTTTTTTTTTGTATAACTGGTATTATTTCGAAACAAAAATCCTTAAGTTATTCTGTGAATGGGGATTCAATTACACTGGTTATACGATGATGTTTTTACTTACAAAAAATACTTTAAGCAGTACCTACAAGGAAACGTTCTAAAAATTGAATTTAGGAAATATTTAAATCTAACAAAAACGGCACACGGATAAAACTTTATACAGTTGTGTTAATTGTGAACGATAAACAAATAAACTTAATCGAAAAAAAAAATACTTATATAGTTTATCAACTTTCATTCAGAATCGTTGATGAATAATGAATAATGAATAATGAATATTAATAATGCTTTAATTTTTTAAAAATAATAATGTAATATTCAAGGTGGATTAATATCAATCCACCTTGCTAGTACTGATACTTTTGCAAAAACAAGCGAATCAAGTCGAATATCCCAAGCTAGGCCACAGAAATATCTTAGGTCTTTAATTTGCCTTCTATACTTGATAAAAGATTTTATTTCTAATTACACTTTATGAAACTCTCATTTAAGACTAATTTAATAAACCAAGTTTAGTATAATTTTAATAAATTAAAGAGATATAATTGCCAAATAATTAAATACCTAGTAAATTTCTAGTAGAACTCAACCATTAGTAATTCTAAAACAACTGTAAGTATAGAGTTTAGCTTAAAAAATGATTTTTATTCCACTCTGACCCACTAGAAATGGATAAAATCACTTGGAATTTTCCTATTTATGGAATAAGTGTGAAGTATACACATAACGATGTCACCAAACACAACACACTCCAAAAATATGTTTATTTTACAAAAAAAAGTGCTGAATTAAACGACTTGTACTGTATAATATGTAACATTGTAACTCCCATTATGTGAAGTCTACTTGAAGGGTTTTTTTATATTTTCTCCATCGAATAATGGATCTTATAATATTGTTGCCACATGATGACACTGTTTAAACTGAACACTACGAATATCAGATATTGCAAGAAGAATGCATTAATATATTATTATTGTTCTCCTACAAACCCTACTTTACAATATAATATAATATAAAGAGGTATTCTATTGGTATATTAGTGATCGTGTCAAGTGTCAATAACTTTATCAACCATTTCGATCTATTTTATAACAGAAATAATTTACATATTCTTACAAAAAAAAAAAAAAACAATAAATTTATACCTACTGATATTTATAAAAGATAGTATTTAAATAAAGAACTAAAATGCAAGCGTGCAAACTCTACAAAACACAATTAAAAAAACTTTTGCTTGAAAATAAAATAATAAAATATATTTAGGTTCAAAAAGTAGCAAGCTAGCAACAAATACGAAAAATTAAAGTTAAAACTGTTGATTTGTCAAAACGTTGATTCAAAACTTAACTCAAGTTCAGAAGAATAAAATATAAATGTTTAGCTGAGCTGTATAATTTATAAAAATTAAAAGTTACTGAGCTATAATGTGCTTATAGGTGTTTATGAAAAATATAATTTAACTGGAATTTAATACTAAAAGGTTAGATTTGTTGAACCATTTATTATAAATAAGTAAATCATAAACGGGTCATTGAATATGTCAATGAAGTTATTGGTTTTGCTGTATAAAATATAACTTTATAGGTAGTACAAAAGCATTATTTTTATTATACTGTACCTAATATACCTACATGTCATTTAAAATTGAATAGGTTTATCCAACTTTGGACGCATACAATAATTATTGCTAAATCTCCGTTTTCGATTTGAAGAAGTATACATCATAGAACTATTGAAGTGGCTTAAAATGACGAGGGGAAGGCTAAATATGTATACATGTATGCATGAGGATTTGTTTTATGACTATTAAAAAAAAAATTGATTTTCATTATATTACCTATTGCAATATTATACGTAGGTTGGACATTAAGTTTGGAAGTTGAATTAAAATTAATCCATGCCATCTCCCTCAGACTTCGACCACTATGTATATAAAATATTTTATTATAACCCCTAGCAATATTGACTGAGAAAAATAATTTTCGAAATTTTTATAATTAAATTTTCCAGCCATTTTTATGAAATACTCTTTGTCTTAAAGCTTTTCTAAAACTCGATTATTCATTCAACAAAACTCTTACCTAATGGATAATGGTAATTCGTTGAACATGATATTTTAATTTCTTCGACTGTCCCCTGCACAATAACACACTACACTTTTAATTAATTAAATTTTATCCATTAAAACAATTTGAATATCAAATCAATACGAATCAACAGTCGTCATAAAATTAACATCTGTTCTAGATATGTTTTTACTTCTACTTCCGTGGTCATAAAATGTAGCACGTTATTATATTTAGAAGGTCAGGAAAAATGCCGAGTGACAAATACATGGACACCTTATTTATACGATTAACAACCAGACACGATGTCATTGAACAAGACAATTTTAAATTACTTAAAATATAGTACCTTATTTGATATTTAATCGATACATACCGATAGTTACCTAATAACAATGTGTTATATAGTAATTATACATCAATATTCAATTTTAAAACGGTTAAAAATGAAAAGTGAGACGTGCAAGAAACACAGGTGTTGAGTATTCCTGTCATAAAAAAAATATTTTGATACCTAATATAACTTAAATATCTAATAACTATATAAATAATACCCTTCTACTCTATAACTTAACACTTAAAGATATTTTACAATTCATAATAATTTATGTGTTTATAAAAAACGCCATTAACTGATTTTGTGACTTTATGAGTTCCTTTCAAACATTTAAAAGTATTATTTATTTAACAAATATTTATATTATTAGTAAAAATGTATAGGTAGTTGATATTTTCTATGATTGAAATACTCGGACGGTATTTGTATATAATAAATATTATTCTTTCAACCATTTTTAAACCGCATTTCTTGCTACTAAATAAGCTATTTATATTTAATTTTCAATAATTTTAGAGAAGTTTTTGTTATATAATTGTATTGCAATCGTCGTTTTTATAAAAGTGAAAAAAATAATGTTTCTATGATGTACTAAAAAGAAAACTAGAAAAATATTACACAACTTCAAGCATTTAATGCATTGTTCATTTTATTTGGAATAAGTTGGACAATTTAAATATAATTGATAATTAATAATGTTTAAATATATACGATTATTTGAATTGTTATTTAATTTAGGCAATAGATTCTTGAAATTTAAAATTTAAAATAATAGGTAGTTAGTTAATACTTAGTATACTTAATACCTATTTTAATTATCTGTTTGACATATTTATGTTAATGTTAATATCATCTTTTCAATCAGATATTTTGTTAGAAAAATAATAATAATAACAATATAAAAACTATTATTAATTAAACCTAAGCTTCTTGATGTTTTTTATATTAAAATTTTAATCCATAAAATGTATACGTTAGTAATAAGACATCTAGTGATTGCTAATAGTGATTGAAGCTTCTACTTTGTACCATAAAGTAATCTCTATTACATGAGAACATATCTATAATATATATGAATGTTAAAAATCAATCTAGTGAGATTCGTTCAATTTGTAAGTATCCCTGAGGCTTAAATACGTAACTCTTAACTCTACTACGAAAATTGGGATTTACTATCTTAGACACACCTATATGGATACATCCAATTCGAAGATAGGGATTTATTCAATTACAGAGTTCAGTCCACGAAGAAACATGAACTTATCCAATTGACTGAATAACAGTGTTACTTATTCGTTTTATTACGTGGGGAGAGGTTTGAATTTTTAAAATAGGAGGTAGTGCGAAGTACCAAAATAAAATTGAAATATAAACATAAAACGTGGATATATATAGATATAGGTATGCAGGGTAATTCACCAAAGATGCTCACCCTTATTTTTTCCTTTAATAATAAATTTATTCAAATTCTGATTTTTAGAATTTTATGTATAGCTACCTACTTTAGAACCATATTTTCAATGATGTAGTTTTTATACTTTTTAAGGAGTGTCCTGTGAGGATACATATCTACTTCCTTTTTTCAAATGAGAACCATTTTTATTGTGCTTACCAAAATTGTTTAGCAAATCACCTTTTTTGAAAATGTCTCTAAATCAAAACCGGAACGTGTAATTCTTGAGTTATTAAATTCTATATATATATACTAATGGATCTAGTATTTTAGTATTTATTATACTTGGACAATTTTAAGACTCTTCGATTAATGACGATTTTTATACATAACAATTGTTAAGTATATACATTAATTTATAATTGTTTATTTATTTAATGTATTAATTATATGCTCATAATTGTATTAATTATTTGCAGGGAAAATGGGTAATTTTCATTTGAAAAAAATAATTAGTATCGCTATAGAATATTCCTTAAATGGTAAATAAAAAATCTAAATATTTTAAAGTATAGTCCTTGAGTATACTTAATAATTCTAAAAATCTGAATTTGAATGAATGCATTATAAGAGGTGTGGGCATTTTTGGGGAATCACTCTGTATATATTTATTAATTTAAAACTTAACTTATAAAAACTAATTGTAAAATACACAATATGTAATAGTATTACTATAACCTAACCAGTAGCATACTTGAAACTTGAAAGACACAAGTTTGAATCGATCAATGACACAGGCAATAAATATGTAAGATGAGATGTTATAATATCTGTACAATAATTAATACAATTAACAATTGATGGTATACGGTTTAAAAATATTTATACACACATACAAATTATAAGTACCTATGTAAAGAAATGCAATTTTTTGAGAGAAATATAAGCAAAGTAACTAAATAACATTGTTTGCATTTAGCCAATAGTTCAATTAAATTGAAAGATACCTACTTTGTTATGTACTACAATTTTTTTGAACGGTGATCATAGTATAGAAACTTCAAAACGAAGGAACCTAAAATATCTCTAAAACATATTTTTCCAATATATAATATCTGCAGATTTTCTTCGATGTACATACACCACTATTTAGAGTAAACACTTCGTTCGTTAGTAACAGTATGACAACTAATTTGTCACAAACTAAACCATTGTATTGATGTCTCTAGCCCATGCATTGAATAAAATATAAAATATTACTTCAATGGCAGATTTTTTACATAGAAATAACAATAGTGCGAAGACCGTAAAAGGTGTAAAAGGCGAATGCTGAATAGAAATGTGTATTATTGCCGAATTAAAAATAATATTACATTTGAATTACGTATGCTATAAACAAAATAATATGTACCTCCTAAAAGTAAATTTGCATGCAAAAAATATTAAAATAAGTAACTATATCAACTTACCAGGATAGAAATCATTTGTTTTTGACATTTTTATCTTTGTATTGGTCTCTGTTTGTAGCTGTGCAATTGTCTCCCCGCCTTTACCAATGATGGCACCAGCAGTTATACAAGGAATTAAAATTTTCATGTGATACATTCCATCTGAATTTCCTAAAAAAAAATAAAATATTTTGTTTATAATTCAACTAAATAATTATTAAAATTTCTAATACGTGAATTTTTAAACTATATAAACACAAATTATAGAACTTTTACAAAAAAAAAAAAATAACAAAACGCAAGAGCTTCCGAAAAATGTATTTAACCGAAATATCCTTAAACTATAATAAATATCTAATTAATATCTTATCATAATAGTAAGTTGTATTTGTAATCCACATAAGATAGATGTCTGTACATTTCTCGCATTATAGCTACTGAGGGGTAACTTCAAATATTAATTTAAAAAAAAACTCAAGTCATGTGATTGAATTATTATCAATAAGTAAGTCTCACTGCTAGACACACTGGAGTTTAGGAACACTACCAACAAGTTATTACTGAATGTCATATAAAATATCCTCAACAATATTATATAATATGAAATTGCCCCCCCTCCATATGCATCGGCCCTTTTCACATAGCCAGGGCAGTCCTGCAAACAAACGAGTGTTCCACCATAACATATTGTTTTGAGAGATTTTATTTGTTTTGTTCTTAGAACTATTCATATTAGCCGTTAGGTATGCTATAATATTTAACTGCTTATTGTGTTTCTTTTGTATGAAAACTCATATTTTGCTAGAACAGGATAATAGGATAATAATATATATAATATGAAATTGCTCACGACCAGCCATCACTATATATTCTCTGTCCCTCAATATGTCACGAACAACAATATCCGCATAAGCACAAAAGTGTCATGTTAAAGTGAGTGTGTGAATATTTCGTATGCATACAAATCGATATCCTCGAAATGTTCTCAAGCCTCGTACACATTAAACATGATTTGATAATGCGTTTACTTAACGTTCAAAAAGGAAACCACGTTCGGCGAACAATACATGTGATATTAACATAAGGCTGTACATTTCAACTTGGTAGGTAAATTTGAAACACAATAAAATAATAATACTGTTATAGGGTACGATCTCAATAATTCGTTTACTTATTTATTTCACTTCCGATGTGATTTGTAAGATGACGCTTTTGACGACTTATACAAAAAAAATGGTATTTTGTATGAAATATAAATCGTTAAAATAATCTTCAAATAAATGTTAAAATAAAATGGGTATGCCTGTCATACACGGTATACCTACACATTGATATTCAATAAAGAGTGCATATTAACTCAATTTCTCTTGATAATTTGTTTGAGTAGGGTTTTCGTAATCAGTTGTGTGTATATATTAGTAAGTTACAAACATTTTGCACTATTTTATGTGTTTAGTGTTAACCTTTAAGCTGGTTCACTGACTAAATACAAATTGAAATTAACATTAACATAAATGTTTATTATTTGTAATAGGACTGGATGAAAATATGGGACTTTCAAGTAACGTAAAAGTGTATTTGTCATGTTAAATTTAAAACGAAAATATATTATAATAGTGTGTTTGTACTTTGTAAATAAGTAAATATGCAAATTCAAATAATAATTATTATCTAAAATTATTTTTAAAAGTAATTACTTCGTGTCTTCGTCTATATTTCATAATATTTTATTTTAAAGTATAAATTAAACAGAAATGGGTAGTTCTGGTCCGTTGGCACAAAATTAATACTGATTGTAATTGCACTTGGAATGGTCGACTATATACCAGAGTTGGATATCCTGCCAAAATCACTAGCTCATTTGCCAAGTCTTTTAAAACTCAAATAATACCCCTGTCAATGTGTAAATAAATGTTTTGTATAATATTAAGTACTTTAGTTCTGTGATTAACGAGGATTTTTGAAGGATACTATTTGGTTTAAATTTTGTTTTTACACATTAACTATGTTTGTTGGGATTGGATTGTATAAATGCGTGCATATAATATATTGATTTTAAACGTTACAGTGAACAAATTGTTTAGAAGTTAGAGGCGAACTACGTCTGTTATTTTGTTATTCAAAGGACGATGACTCTTTGTAACATGTTGTTTTGATTAATCGATTGTGCGTTGATAAATTATTACATTGTAATGTTCAACTATTCACAAAAAAAAAAAATAATATAATTTGTGTAAATAAAATATTATTTTAAACACGGGCATAGAAGTTTATTTTGTTTAGGTATTATTATACAATGTTAGTAGGTACTGGGTAGGTAATTATTATTTATTATTGTTGACACATACAATAAAATATCAATAACGTAATCTCTGTTGTATGAACTGTAGTAGGTGTAATGGGTACAATAGAAATAATAGAACATACATGCACGCTTAGTTTTTTCTTTCTAATCTAGAAATAAACAACTATAATAAAAATATTATTTACATAAAATAACTTATGGAATCTTTGATGCGCATTTATGTATATTTTATTATAAGAATTATTTTCCATTATTCCTTTTATTAGTCATATGTACATAATATAATATTATAATCGTGTTATGTATGATTGAAGTAGTAGGCATAATGCTTTATATTTGTATCTATATAAATTTAATTTCAACGGAAAGTTGTCAAATCGACGGTGATGGCTCAGAGGCTGTAAATTAGATGTAGATGATAATTTTTCTATATAAACCTGTGACATTGCTTTCTAAATATATTGTATTTAATTAAATCAAAATTCAATATTTTTTTCAATAAATATAATAGCCAATATTTTCTATTAATTAAATACAAAAATGGTTGTGAATGTAATTATTAATTAAATGTTTATTATAATTGGCGTTGGTATAGTTGGTGCTTATTATTAAATTAACATACTTATTTTAATATATTTCAGTGATTTCAACCATACTATATAGATAACACAGATAGTTGACCCGATTATACAAGTTTTCCGGGGCCGATTTATAATCGCAATCCTCCCCTGCCCGTTAAATATATTATATCATTACATAATATGCTCATATGGTGTTGTCAAGTTTCAAGTACGTATTTACGTATCTTCTATACTATATATTATGTCAAGTAGGTATAATAAAAATAAAATTATATTCAATTTGTTGTTAGCAGACGAAATTGTTTCCAATGCATATTATGTGACATTTCAACCATGTCAGGTGAAATTTTCTCGAAAAGATATTATTTTATGAACAATAATAAATTATATACAAACGATTATTTTGAATTTGGACAGCATAAACGTCGCGCTGTCCGTGTATGTATTATACGTACACAAACGGCGACGAAAAGGGTTTTGGGAAAATAAATTGGCACAAGATTGTTCGATGAATATATCCCCCATACATTATAATATTATATTCGTCGGAAATTTTCAGACATAACCATTATTATTATTATTATTATCATCTAATACCGTTAATACGAGCTTGCTGGTAAAATGCTGAGTTTGTCATTTCCCGGGTCCCATGCGTAGGGCCATAGGTAGGGTAGTGTTTCGATAGAGCAACTTCAAAAATAATGATAAACGGTTTTTATATTACACGGACAACGAATTCGTGTTCGAAATACTAAGATGCGAGATATCGTACGATACATTCCGCAAAAATTAAACCTCGAAATATAATATTAATGGCTTTACTATTATTAGGTAGTTAAAAGGACGCTACCAATGCATTTATTGTCTCAGTCTCATACACGTACCTACGACATAACACATTTTCGTTCACTAGTTGCGATAGTGCTGTGCTGTCGGTTTTGATATTAGAGCGAAATGACCTGTTATCAAACTTTTAGGTATGAGTACTTAGTCTGTGCCTGTAAACGTTGGCGATTGTGTCGATAATTTATTTTTCAAGCGAGAAAATCTTGAGATGAACATCTCAAATGAAAAATGATCATATTATATCTAACTCGGAAATTAAAATGTCGAAAAATTCGCCAACAGATAATGTTCTTACCTAAAATGCTAATAGTATTGTAATATCAAAACTAACGGTACACCATATTAAAACTGGTGACTGAAAATTTGGTATCTTGTGTAAGACGGAGACAACAAATGCATGGGTAGGCATCCTCTTAAAGTGCCTTAAACAAATCGTGCAATTAATTCACACAACGAGTAACTATGCAAGTTTTTTTTTATTTTATTCGTACTGCATGTTGTGTGATATATATTATTATATATTATACAAAATATGACACTTATTATAATTCTCATCGTAATGATTTTAAATTTATATTACATATGTTATGTGATATAGTATATGCATTATACATAAAGTACCTACACTGTAAAATAGTTTGTAACAAGTTGTGTTAAATTATATATTTATATATTATAATAAATATTGTTTAAAACCTACTTGAATTTATTCATTTTATTAGCATTGAAAAAACAATTATTATTAATGTATTATTTACAAGAATATCCGGAAATGTAGGTATTACTAAATGCTCATCGGTCTATTTTCAACGATATTAATTAATATATTTAAGGCAATAAATAGAAAATTAATGTTAGTTTAAATCAAATACATAACCCATGAAAATAATACTTTTTGATAAGTAATTTGATTTTTATGTGAAATATCTAAGTTGAGAAATATTATTTTGCAATAAATAATTAAAATAAAATAAGAAAACCTTTGATAAAGCAACAAATATATTATTATTATAAATTATAATTTACTAATTAAGAATGTTCTACAGACCATATATATAACTTAAGGTCTTTACTAAAAAAAACCTCGCATTTCCTTTTTTAATGTTAGTTTATATTTTATTTAGTATTTATTATTTCAAGGAAAACTTCAAATGTTATTGCTTTTAAGGTCGAGGTTTAAGCTCCAGTTAAAATATGATATTATGAAGCTATAATGGCACATTATTTAATGTTTTACATGTAGATCATAACCCACTTACACGTATAATGTATATATGATTATTTTTAATACAATACCAATTATACCAACATTTGAATTCAACAATTATGTAACTAAAAGATCTACTGAAAAAATAATGAATGTATTTTATCTCTTAATGAGTTAACTACCAAAACTCAAAACTTTTCATTGGTTAAACATACTCATTAAACCGTGCAGTATACAATAATTTACTTATATAATATGTTACCTATATCAATAATTTTAATTGAAAACACTTAACCGTAAAAAAAATATCGTTTTTTTCAAACTATATTTACATTAAGTATAACTAAAACGAAAATCCTTTAGTTATTTATCTCTCCAATCAAGTGCAATAAAATTAATAATTTAAAATAGTAAAATACATATTATCGCGATGATGTTCTGTTTTGTTTTCCATTCGTCTTACGGGTAATTGATTCGCTTATCTGTGTAGGGCAAACGCAAATAACAAACAATGGCGAGGATATGCGGTGGCGATGTCGTGCACCCTCCTTCGAGTCGATTAATATACATAAATAATAATATATTATATCGATTTCGTAAATTAATTTATGCATTTCTACCGGGCAGTGTGTTTACTATTACAGGTACACGCGTCACTAATAATTAAATATATCGTATTATTGTAAAATTGTGAAATACCTAATATAAAATATATACGTCGACTATATACGATGATTATTTATGTGTACCTATTTGTATTGCGAGTATAGGCGTAATAATGCGTATAGCTGGATGTCAGTGTGAAAAAACGTCATCGATCATATCGAGCGAGCACAATAACAATTTAAAACGGCCAGTGCGGATAGGTATGGGTCGTTGGTATGTGGTATACTGTACAATGATAATATAAAAATATATAACATTGACAATAATGGTGACAGAGACGGACGGACGACAGACGTTTCGCCGGCCCCGCTCGACGGTGAGCGTATACTTGAAAATCGGTCGCGCAAAACGTGTCGGACAGTGGCGATTCGCTCATGGCCGCCGATCCAGAATCGAACTGCAAAGTTTACTCGCCCGTCTCTCTCTCTGTATATTATATACCGGTTGTACGTGCCAAACATATTGATCACGACGGAGGCGCAAGGCGTATAGACGACAATCCAGTTTCCGATGTTATAATATAATATATTATATTTATTATATACTATTATATAGGTACATATACAGCCCGCCCGGTTGAAGGCAAAGGCCCCGGAGGTACGTGACACGGCATCGTCATCGCCACCGCCACTGGTATAAAAGTCAAAAACTTTTGATGTAAAAATGTTATTTCGCCCAAAACTCACCGGCGTAGTAAACTACGACTAACTCGCAGCGATTCGAACTTTTCGAGTCTATATATTATTATTATAATATTATGTATATAAAATAATATGTCGTAAACAGACCGATCGCGACGACACGCGGAAAGTTTAGTGTGTGCGCAAACCGTAAAATGAAAAACACATTATACCAAACGAAATCTACATAGGGTCATATCATCATATTTTATCGCCAGTAATTATTATACTATCAATTATTTTACCATTTGACGTAATCTCTCACTCTCTCCCTCTCACACTCACTCCCTCTCTATCAATCAATCTCTCACTCCTACTTCTTCTTCCCTCGCCGACAATAATTCTTATCTAAAGATCGCAAAATTACATGCGTATACAAATAGTAATAACTATAATATTATGTACCTATCCATCTAATAAGTATATATGTACCTATCCATCTAATAAGTATAATATTATGCACACCGCCATATTTTTCGCCACAAATAACCGATCATTACACACACACACACACACAGCACAACATTGTCAAGGTCCCGCAGAGCAGATCCATCCGAATACACTCATACATAGTACCTATATATACATAACTACCTAACCCCGACGACCTCTACTAGGTTACTGTTACTGGTTCGAGTCTTATGCCAACCGGTTCGACCTTCAAAAGTGTATATTCTACACTGGACACCTCTGCTGCAGCCGACTGGTCATACATTTACGCAGCACAACGTATGACGGTCGTCCCTCCTAGTAAAAAATTACTAAAAAAAAAAAAAAACACGCTCGATGTTTTTCAAGAACTATCGAAGAACGTGTTTTTGTTCAAATATAATTATATGACTATTACCTATCTGTTTTTTTTTTAAAAGTGTTTTACCTTCCGACGCGTAGTAAACGAAATCTCAGAACCAAACGAGATATCGTATACCTACTCGGATGACGCTTCCACGAACATCGTTCGTCTAAAATATGCTGTACATCGTACAACTTGTTGTATAATAACTAATTACAAAATTATGGATTAGTTTGATCTAAAAAGTAAAAAGTATGACGACAATCGTTGGCCCTGTACGCAGCGAGTATATTTTCAATCCATATTACATGTAAAATACCTACCGAGTACCTCCATTATTCATCAGAATTTCAATAAGCTTATACTTTTTTCGCAGGCCAATTAAATCAAACAATCTATATGTTATAAATTTTATAAATTAGAGCAATCATCATGTACGTATACTAGCTATAAGCATTTTTAATAATTACACAATCCTATAGGCTATAAGCTCGAAGCGATATAATAGGTAGGTATATAGTCATTAAATATAATTATTGTACCTTTAAATAATGGGAATCGTAATAAGTTAATAGCAATAAATTAAAAGATTCTATAAATAAATTGTATATATTATTACTTATCAATTCCCTACAATAAAATAAAGTGTGAAATTAATAATAATAATCATTAAAGCTATAGATATTATTCTTAAATCAATATCATAAATAATAGGTAGGTTAGTATACCTACATTTTTTTTCACCTGGAGTAAATATAAAACTCAACTGATGCTATAATAATTTATCGAAATATTTTGTACGACTATATTACTGTTAAAGGTTAAACTACTTTAATTTAATTTAAAACCTTGAACATGTGAACTAAACTATTATTTTATTTTATTATTTTTTCATTAATTTTCATGAGAATTCTTCGATCGTTTGACATGATATTATTATATGAATAATACTATAACCGTATACTATATAAAATATTAAAATTTTTTGAAGATCGGTCTAAATTCAGGTTTTCCAGGAATTGTGTCATCATAACTCTGATTAATCATAATTTCCCACATTCATCATAAAACCATAATTACAATCGGATGCATGAATTATTATATTATTAGGAAATAATTGGTATATTGTATAAATCCTCATGAGTCATGATAATAATAAGTTTAATTTTACTAAAACTGTTGAAATATAACATACAAATTTACATTTTCATTTACCAAATGATTAAAAAAATCACTAATTGTTTTTCGTTATTAAAAATATAGCTAATTAATAATATATTATATTTTATAATTAATATTGAACGACTATTTATTGCAATCAAATAGACAAAATTAATGAATTATAATATTATGAAAAATGAAAGGAAGTAGTTAATAATTAGTATTCGATGTTTATTATGTAGTTTTCAAAAATAATTAATGTATAAGTCCAAGATACTCCAGGA